CACTCTCTTTTTCTCTATATATGTGTGAGTGTGTTTGTGTGTGTGTTTGTGTGTGTGCTGCACACTCCCCGTTTAGGGTTCAGTGCAAAATTCTGTTATACTCGACTGCCGCAGGCAACAACTATGGCTCGAGCCTTGGACTTGGGTCTGGGTGGCGATGCTTCCAGCATTCACATTGAGCAGTTGCTGCAACAGCAACGGCAACAGCAATGGTAACGGTAACTGTAACACCAACGGCAACGGCAACGGCAACGGCAACTTGTGGCAGTCAGCACTTGAAATCCAAGCGGCGTAATTGCCGCACTGTAACAGACGTTGGCTATGACGATCCGAGTTGATGATGACGAGGATGCTGCTATGCGAGGCTAAGCATCTCCTGGGGGCGCACAAGCGCAGCAATGCCAAATGAGAAAGAAGAAGCAACAGCAACAGCAGCAAAAAATATCCTTTGAGTCGGGCAGCCAAAGATGGGGTCGACCAAAGTGGTTTGGACAGACGGCTGCTGCTGCTGCGGCTGCGGTCGCCATCTAAGCATAACAAAAACAACATTATTGAAGCAAAAAGGTTTTAATGCGGCCTAAGCTGCTATGGCAACGGATACGCCAATCCGTCCGGAAATATTTCCACTGGCATTTCTAGCCATGGCAACCCACGGCGCGGCAATGGGTGGAGCGGAGTGTGAGTTGAGTCGACCAAAGCTGGATTTTCATTTGTCCGCAAATCCAGGCCGCATGGTCGCCGCCTGATTGGCCAGCTAATCCGCCGTATACCGTATACCGTATGCCGTGCTGCGCCACTCGGACTCGCTTGTCCCATTTTGGTGGCGTATCTAAATGCGCTACTCTTTGACGCAGCTTTGCTGTAGCATTTAATACAGCTAAAAGCTTAGCGGGGGGCGGGAAGCGGGGCCGTGGGCGTGGCGGGGATTTACCTTTTTCCATTTTTCAATTTTTCAATTTTTCACTTTAATCAAATTAAAATTCATTCGTCGCGCTTATGAAGCGTGCAAATGGAGCTGCCAGCAGCAAAATAGCTTTGTCCTTGTTTATGCAGCATTGCCACGGCAACGTCCGGGAGGTCCGCAGAAGCCGGAGAAACCGGAGAGAGTTTGGGAAGTCCGTGGAGTCCGGGGAGTCTGTGGAGTCAGCCTATTGAGCAGCCAACCACCCAAGCCAAGTGCTTGCCGCTTTTTGTTAAGTTTTTGCCGAGGGCCAAAACTTTGCATTGCGGTCTGCCGGCTGCGTCGGCGTCTACGTCTACGTCTGCGTCTGCTGGAACTTTGCTGGCGCTGCAAGGCATTTTGGGCAACTACAATGAATCTACATTTGGGCGCGTGTCAGCGAGCGGGGGTTGCCGACTCGTTCCGAGTGCAGCAGCAACAGCAGCAGCAACCCTTGAGGCGCTGAAATTTGATAAATATGCGTATTAGTTTCAGTTGCCGGGAATGGCACGGAACCTTTGGCCAGAACGAAAGCCAGCGGCAATATCAAACGTTAAGCGACGTCCCGGTGGGTTCTGGGCAGGGTGGTGCAGTGTTCGCGCATGTTACTTAAATTGCGCTCTAAATTAATTTGGCTTTTATATCGCATTTGCTGTGTGTGCCCCGATTCACAATTCACTGCACGCTGCTCGAAAGTATGCAACGTTTTTTTTTGTGGAATCAGCTGAGGATGGCTAGAAGTGAATCAGAACTGAAGGCAGCTGAAAAAGCATATGCTCAATGGCATTTACTGATTTACCGTTTTGGGTATATTCACAGATCTTTGTTGAAATTTTGAAATAGCTATAGCTGGATTCGCGGCAGATCTGCTGGCTGAGGGTGACCAAATAAGAGCAGTCGATGGAGAGATTGCAATTAAATTATAGTGGGTTGAGATATTAAGATGTTTTGTTCTTTTTATTTTTTTTATTTTTATCTTGTTTTTTCCGC